GGATTGTTTGGATGTTTGTAGGGGAAATGGATGGTAGACATGAGGACCAGGAGGGCCAGCACAGTGTGGATTTTACCATGTATCAAAATCTCATCAGCCTGATTACCTAATTAGAGTAACCCAGCCCCAAATTTACATAGATTGACTATTCATAATATCTGACTACATATATAAGTAGTTTATAAGCTCCTTATAAACAAAGACTGTGATCTCCATTTCCAAAGTCCACTCATAACCCAGCATGTAAAGAGACCTTAACAACTTATTGTTAACTTGTCAGGTCCTCATCTATAGAAATTTTAAAAAAATTTAAAGAATATAGAGATAAAGTAGGGTTCCAGTTTATTGTGTTTGTAGATCATAATGACATAATACACTTTCTCCTATAGATCTAGCGTTTTTTCAGAGCACATGGAAAATGGAACATTAGAACCGCTTTCTATGTTATTCCCTCTGTAAAGTGGGAAAATTGGATAGGAGCTCTTTCTAAATAGCTGTCACACCTGTAGCTTTAGTTGCCTTGTAGGACTTGTGGCCTAGCTCTTCAGATGAATCTTCTAGATTTTTACCTGGCCCATCCTCATCAAGAGGCAATTGTTAGTCATATTACCAGCTTAGAGCCGACCAGACAGCCATAAGGCCCTAGTTGAAAGCATTCATGCAAATATTATGCATATAGATAAATTACAGTTTTAAAAGCATTTGTACATCCTCCCCTCTGGGGGCCTTTTGAAATTGCATTTTCAGGTATTTTTCAAGTTTAAGAAATTAAACTACTCTGAAGTGTCATGGTTCCTGAATTTCTTTTCTTTCTCACTCTCTTTGACCCAGATTCTTTAGAGTGAGTTTCTCAACCCTTGTACTGTTGACATTTTGGGCCAGATTATTCTTTGTTGTGGGAGGCTGTCCTGTACATTTTAGAATGTTTGGCATTATCTCCGGCCTCTCCCACCAGATGCCAGTAGCAATCCTCTTCCCGAAGTTGTGGCAGTCAGAATGTTCCTACAGATTTCCAAATGTCCCCTGGGGCATGGGAGGGCTGCACAAAATTGCCCACTTGTTAGGAACCTTGACTCTTAACACCATACGGAGCAGAGCACAAATTCAGGGAAGACAGCATTAGAGATGGTTGTAGTCATCAGGGCTTTAGCGCCTGTATTAATCCCCCATTGCTGAAGTATTTGTCTACTAAGATAGTAACAAAATAATTTCTGTACTTTGGCAATGTTACTCTAGTGTCTTCTTCCTAATTCTTTTGTTTCTTTTGCAGAATTAAGAATATTTCCTTGTTTATTAGATACATCACTGCTTTATGAAGCAAGGAAGATATACATGAAAAAATTTAAATACATATCGCTGACTCCATGGAATGGACATCCTGTATAAGCACTGAGAAAGCAACAACATGATAACACTAAAAATTTAGGCACTCTTAAACCATCTGCCTCTAAAAGCATTGGATGTAGCATTGTGCAATTAGGTTTTTCCTTATTTGCTTCATTGTACTACCTGTGTATATAGTTTTTATCTTTTACTATGTAGCACATAAACATTAGGAATGGGGGGCAGGGTGGGGCCGAGGCATCAGCATGGATGGGGGGATGTGAAGAACTTGCTTCAGTTTGTAGCAAGGAGAAAAATGTTTGACTTGCATGAAGAGAAGCAACTTGGGTGGGGGGGAAGGGTTTGAATTGCTTTCTTTAAAGATGTAGTGTCCCTTTCAGTAAGAACTGATCCTTTACTTTAAAATAATCAAAATTTGAATAATTGCTACATATAGTTGCTATTTATTTTTACATGAAGCTTATTCTTATTTGGGAGTTCTGAAGATTCTGTTATGTAGCAACAAATGACTTTAAAAAAAAAAAAACTATCCTTCCACCCCACCCTTAAAATTGGAACTTACCAGTTAATTGTTCAGCAGTAATCAATCCAGGTAATAATGGGCAAAAATCTGGTGTGCATGACAGGAAATTCTGAATTCTTAGAATTGACCATTTCACACCAGATTTGTTGAGAAAATTGCTGTTTTCACTTGAGCTGTGTAGAGACAGTGAAAATAATCTTAAATCCCTGGATATCTTTAGAAGTCTATAACTTTACACAAATAATGAAATAATTTTTAATTAAAAGTTTCTCATCCTACTTGTTAATTTGCCCCAAGGAAAGCACTGTTTTTAAAGGAAAACGGGGGTATGCTAGTAGAAAAAGCATACTTGTAGAATAAGTGAAATGGGTACTACATCTTTAAACAGTGTTTCTTCATTGCCTGTGTATGAGAACCTTGAAGTGTGCCTGTGTATATAACTCTGTAAAGACACTGAAAATTATACTAACTTATTTATGTTAAAATCTAGACGATATACAAGCCAAAGTGGCAGGTTTTGTGCATTTGTAAATGCTGTATTGGGTAGACTAGCCCCCGACCCCTTTGTTAAATAATATGGCTATGCTTAAAAGGTTGCATACTGAGCCAAGTATAATTTTTGTAATGTGTGAAAAAGATGCCAATTATTGTTACACATCAAGCAATCAATAAAGATAACTTCCATAGCTATTCACTGAGTGCAACTGTCTTGTGCTTTCCTGAGCTGGAGGTATTCAGCCTGGCATGCCCCTGATAATTACACAAATACAATGCCAAGTGACAAACATCTAGAAAATTTAGGCTTGCGTTTCACTCAGATGACTTTTTGGTGTGTACTGTGTGTGTGTGTGTGGGGGGGGTCCTGAATGTACTAAGCAGTGGCCATTTTTTCCTAGTGCTGTCTGGGTAGACAAAGCTTCAGTGGAAAGAGGAAAAGCGCCAGTTTCATGTAGGACTGTCAGCAGTCCCCAGTTAGTTCAAATATTTGTGTCTTCTAGGATATGAGTGTGTGAGAACCAAAAGGGGGGATCCCTTGCATAAGTGTAGTCTGATCACATCTGCAGTATTGAAAATGAAAGTGATATAACGACTTCTCTAGATTCTCTATTTACACGTTTGAAGTGGTGTGAGTGATGAAAATCAATGTCCAGATCCCAGCCGACCAGTCTGGCCCACAACATCCAAACATACAAGTCCTTAAGAGGCTCATGTGTGTTCTATACTACTTGATAAATGAAATTCGCCATACACAAATCCCGCAATTTGAGTGTTCATATTATAGTTAACACATCAGAAAAATAGTTAAAATACTAAAAACTAAGTCTTGTGTACTATCTGCTCAGCAGAGGTGCTTGTTTTCTACTTAAAAATATAAACACAGCATTTTAAAGCCAGGTTCATCAAAATAATTCTTGAAACACCATACTTGCATTTTAAAAATGTGGTTAAAGTATAAAAGTAAATTATAAGAAAATTTATGGGTAAGTTGTGAGAAATCTAAATTTGGGTTAAACTATTCATTGAAATACTACCACTTACATCACCACACCAAAAAGGGTTATAAAACTAGCATTTTTGAATGAAAGATTTTTCTTTCTTTTTCTTCCTTTTTCTTTTTTAAATAAGGCAAGAGTTGGTTTTTCTTCCTGTGACAGATGGGAAAATAGATCTTTTGGACTCTGGGCCAAGTAGGTATTATTTTCATTAAAGACTAAAGGTGTTTTTGTGGTTCTGTTTAAAACATAAAGGGTGACTTGCAGGAGGACCAAGAGTCAGAAAATCATGTCAAAAATGGGAAAGCACCTCTCTATTGCAGCACAGATCTCGTTTTCCTTTCATAAAGCTTTTTTTCCTTTTCTTTTAAAGTGTGTGTTTTGAGAGATTGCATTTTAGGAATGCTGGGCCGGGAAGATGCTCCTCGTCAGGCAAGTCCACGGGAACGCACCCCCCCAACGCCACCCCCGCCCAGGTCACTGTGTCCTCCATCCTCCGAATGTCTGTGTCAAGCCTCCACATACAATCTGATGGTTCAAACGGTCCTTTTTCCCAGGACCTGGACTCTTGTGCCCGCCGCGAACGTCCCTTTGCGGGTTTGCGGCCGCCGGCGTCAGCCACCCTCTACCCCACCACTCCCGCCACGGCGCGGTAGTCTCCTGAACTGTCCCGCAGCCCCGATCCCACCCGGCCGCTGTGGCAACTCCGTAGTCGGTCTGGCTGGGGCCTGTGGACCAAAAGTCTCTAACGTAGCCGGCGTCTTGCAAGTCCCGCACTGCCTGGGTCGCCGCGCGCAGTTCCCGCGCCCCGGGCGCCCGCAGGCCGCGGAAAGCGGCCGCGCCTCTGTCCGCGCAGCCGGGCAGGGCTACTTTTCAAAAACCTTTCTCCTTCACCATCCATCCTGCGGACCAAGAAAATCGCTAAGGAAGGCCCGAGATCCTTCCTAGAGGACACCCCGCCGCTCCCAGAGCTCTAGGGCACTTTCCCGAAGGGACCAAGTTCCCCGAGTTCGTGGACCCTCCGGGGCAGCAGCCGGCTCCCACCCCTACCGCAGGGCTCCAATGATCCGCAGCCCCGCGCATTTCGAAAGCCTCCCCGGCTCGCCGGCGGCTAAGGGACCGTCACCGGAGCGCGCGGAACTGTGGAGAGCCACTGCCACTTTCGGGGATCGCCCCCGCCTTGCAAAGTGCCCCCCACCACTGAATCTTTGGCTGTCCAGAACCGCAGACCCAGACAGGGAGGAACTGGGGGAAATGTGGATGGGGGGCGTGATGGGTTAGAGTGGGGGGCCGTGGACATTCTTCAGTGGGACGGAGCAGGTAGTCGGCGTTTCAGGCCACTGTGTGTGCCCACCGCCCTGGCCGCACCGAACGACCTTTCCTAGGCGCCAGGGAACTCTGCCTTCGCCATTGCACCATCCTCGCCAGAAGACACCGGTTGCTATTCTAGCGCTTTGGACTAAAAGGTGTTTTGTTTAGAAGTTCATTTAGGATCCCTGATCTGTTTTTCAAAGTACGGATTCCTTCTCATTTGCCATCTTTCACCTGAGCCACACCCTATGCCTGCCACCCCCTCCTTCCTGGCTAAAAAAATAAGGCAAAAAAAAAAATCTTTCAAACAACGCTGCGGGAGAAAGAGGTCCAGGAGCCTACTTAGAAATGTATTGGGTCGCCTCCCTGATTCCACTCGCGTGGGCTTGGGAAAGGGTGGGGTCTTCCACAGACGGATCTGGGAGAACCGAAAGTGCATTTATTTCCACGTAAACTCAAGTCTCAAGTCCCTCAGGCCTCCATCCAAGTCCCAGACTTGTCATGCGTGGGTACTCTGAGCAGAGACAGGAACTAGAAAATAGAAAATGTTAACAAAAATAAAATTAAATCCTTATCCATGTTTTGGGCGCGAAACCTCGACGCGCCTCTAAAAAGAACGTTAAGAGAAAGGCCGGGAGAAGGGAGCGCGGTTCGGGCGCCGGCCGGGGGATTGCATCATTTGCAGCTCCCCCTCCAGGACACGGGCTGCGAACCGCAGCCACCATCATGGCGCTCAGGTCTGGCCGCGCTTCCCGAGTCCCGGAGCGTCCAGGCCGTGGCCAGTGAGCTTCGATAGAAGCGTTTGCAAGATATGTTCCCTGGCCGCGGAGCGCCGGTCTCTCCCCCCTCCTTCCCTTTGTGTGCGTGTGCATGAGCGTGCGTACGTGTATTTGTCAGTACGCGTGTGTCATGTGTGCAGGGAGAAGTTTCTCTCTCTCTCTCTCTCTCTCTCTCTCTCTCTCTCTCTCTCTCTCTCTCTCTCTCTCTCTCTCTCTCTCTCTCTCTCTCTCTCTCTCTCTCTCTCTCTCTCTCTCTCTCTCTCTCTCTCTCTCTCTCCCTCTCTCTCCTCTCTCTCTCTCTCTCTCCCTCTCTCTCCCTCTCTCTCCCTCTCTCTCTCTCCCCCTCCCCCCCGTCCCCGTCCACCGCCCCCTTCCCCCACCCCCCCCAACTCCGGGTCCGGAGCTGGTGGTTGTAAACTTGATTGGCATTGGCTGCGCCCACTGATCCCTGCACCGAGTCCACTGAAGATTTAAGGTGGATCTGAGAGGCTGCAGCTGCAGGCGGAGCCTCGCTCTTAATTTAGTTTTGGAAGAAAAAAAAAAAAAACCCTAAACCGTGCGCTCGATGCGTTTTACGAATCCTTCGGTCCCCAGGTCCGCGGGTCCCCGCCCAGCCCAACGCGCTTCCCCCGCCCACCTTCCCCTGATTCCCCATTGGCCCGCGCGTGCAGTTTGAATTTTTTTTTTTGGTTACTTGTTTTCTTGTTAAAAAAAAATTACAGTACCGAGATCATGTGATGAGACTTACCCGGGCAGCCTGAGGTGGGGTGCTTTAGCTGGTTTGGTTGAAGGCAGTAAGGAGCAGGATGGGTGGAGCTTTCTGTTCCAAAAGTTACCCCCCCCCCCCGCAAGTGCCGTTGACAGAGTGCAGGCGGGAAGCTTCGGCTGGGGTAGAGATGTAACATCAAGCATTCATGGATGTCCAGGGAGCGCGGGCTCACACGCTGCTGGCCAGAGGTACTAGGAAGGCACAGGCGGGAGCCCGACGAGGATGCACCTTCCCCTGCCTTGGAAAGGTAGATTGGAGAGGGTGGGAGTGGGTAGGTATCCTGGAAATGAATATTTCCCCATCAAGGAAATAAGCCAAATACAAGGTGTGTCTATAGACTATATATGGAGCAAAGAGGGTGTTTTTTCCAGGCAATAGAATGTCAAAGTTCATCATGATAAAGGCAGTCGGTGTCATTTTCTTCTTTCTTTTCTTTCTTTCTTTTTTTTACTTTAAAGAAAAAACAAAAAACAAACACCAACAAACTCTTATTTTGTGTTTTTGAGCAAGAATGAGATAGGGGATAAAAAAATCCCTTTGATTTCTGGGTCTGAAAACTCATTGGCAAGAGTGTGTTAAAATTTAGGACGATTTGTTTGGTAGCACAGGTCTAATACAAGTGATGACCTTTTAAAATCAGCATCCAGCTATGTTTCTCTTTGCAGTGAAGCTTTTAAACGTTTATAATAATTAAAAGGTATCCCACATCAGTCTTTCAATGAATGAAGTCAGCATACACATACCTTCTTTGCTTTGCTTTTCCTCCTTTAAAAAAATTTCCCGATGACTTCTTAAGGCTGTTTTAGCCAGATGCCTAGCCCTGGTCTCTCCACAGATCCTAAACCAGTGTACCTTGTTTTAAGTTTTTAGCTACCCATTCTGTACTGGCCAGACAAACCCCTTAATTCTCCCAGTCCACTAAGTTCTGTGACCCCCATCATAAACCAACCTGCCTGAGGTTTTCTCTAGGCTGTATTCACTGACTCTGCCAGAGGTGCACTGGTCACTTCTGCTAAAGGACCCACCTAATTAGAGTGGGCCATCCAAAAGGGAAAATGTGTCAACATAAGGAGGAACTTTACAGTGTAAGGACCATCTGGTCTCAGGAAACAGTTCTCTATCTTGAGTGCGAATCAAACTCTGGATGTTCTCCTAGTGGGGTTTTCTAGATAAAATTCAGATAGCAAATGACTGTGTAAAGTGGTTCTGAAGTTTGAGCTTGGCATGGTGGAGCACACCTGTAATCTGAGCACTTGGTAGGGGGAGGCCGGAGGATGGGGAGTTGAAGGCCAGCCTTGCTCACACAGAGACTTTGAGGTCAGCCTGGGCTGCACAGTGACTCCCAAACAAAAACGGTCATCAATTATACTCCACGAGGCATGGTGACACATACCTTTAATCCTAGTGCTCATGAGGCAGGTGGATCTCTATGAGGTTCAGGCCAAAAATAAAAAATAATTTTAAAAAGTCTCTTGCTCTTTACCTCCACCTCCTAGATGAAGTCTTGCTGGCTTTGAACTCCTGGGCTCAATAAATCTCTGACTTTAATCTACTGTCTAGGTGGGTCCACAGGCTTGTGCAACTGCACCTACCCTAACTTTTTGGTTAAAGGGAGGCCTTAAACTCAGGCTCTGGAACAGCTAAGCAGGAATCTACCAAGCAATGCCCTCCCTGCTGAACTTGGTGGGTTAAATGCTTGCTCCAAGAGTATGAGTACCTGAATTTGGATTTCCAGAACCTGTTTTAAGAGCCGGCATTGACAGTGCACATTTTTAATCCCAGAGCTGGTGAGTGGACAGAGAAAAGTAGATTCTTGGATCACAGTGACATCCATGCCAGCTAACATAGTGAGCTCCAGGTTCATTGAGAGGACAGGCAATAAAAGATGCCAGTGATGATCTCTGACCTCCATGTGGACATGCATGGATGCATGCACACAGGACACATGTATACACACAAAAGATTCTACTAGTGAATGAACACCTACCATTTAATCTTTAAACAGTATTAGGTTTGAGCCAAATTATTGGGATATGTCGCTGCCGACAGAGGTCCCGGAGGACAGGAATGGAGTAGAAAAAGTACTGCATGTTAATGTCGTAACTGTTCTAATATCATAGCACTGTGCCTTATTCACATTTGTGGTGCTACTGGTATAAACAAGCCAAGTGTGCAGCCAAATATACTGCCATACAATTATGTCCAGTATCTGAAAATAATAAATGACTGTTTCTGGCTTGTGCACTTATCATAGTGAACTTTCTATTGTATGCTTTCTGCTATCATCCTAGGGTGTATTCCTACTTAGATATGTGTATAAAGTTAACTGTAAAAGAGTCTCAAGTTAGTCCTTCAGAATGCATTATTGTCATCATTAGAGACAACTGTTCTAGGCATGTCACTACCCCTAACCATCTTCCTGGAAGACCAGATGAAAGGTGGAGGCAAAAGATGTCATTATTTTTTAGTTGTCATTACATTTTTTAGTGCCTGGATAGAAGCCAGAGCCTTGTGTATGGTAGGCAGGCATACTAAAATTCAGTGGATCTTAGGCTGGCCTTGAACTTAGCGAGTAGCTGACCTACAGCTTGAAGCAATCTCCCTTCCTCAGCCTCCCACACACTTGTATTACAGATGTACACCACCACACCTGGTTCAAATAATGCTGAACTTGATCCTTTGTAGACTAATGCCTGTGTTTGGAACTTGGCTTTGAACAATAGCAAAAAAATGTTTTTAAAGTGGTTTTTTGTTTTGTTTGGGTTTTTTGTTTTTTTGTTTTATGTGTATTGGTGTTTTGCCATGGGCGTCAGGTCCCCCTGGAACTGGAATTACAGACAGTTGTGAGCAGCCATGTGGTTACTGGGAATTGAACCTGGGTCCTCTGGAAGAGCAGTCAGTGCTCTTAACCACTGAGCCATCTCCCCAGTCCCAAATGTTTTTTTAAAGTAAGAAAATTAAAACAGAAGGGCTGGTGATATAGGTAGAGTGCTTATCTAGCATGAGCAGGCTCTAACTGTGATCCCCAGTGCCACATAAACCTGATGCATGCCTGTAATCCCGGCACTCAGGAGGCAGAGGCAGGAGGAGCAGACATTCAAGGTCATCCTCAGCTACAAAGCAAGTTTTGAAGCCAGCCTGGTCTGTAGAGACTATCCCAAAATGAAACAAAACAACCCCCAGACAACAAACAAAAATGACCTCACAGATTAAGCACATAAAGAAAATATTTTTAAATATCTATACAATGTGTTCTAAGCGAGATCTTACTGCTAGAGTTTGAAAAGGTTTTGGGTTTTTTTGTTTTGTTTTTTCTTTTTCTTTTTCTTTCTTTCTTTCTTTTTTTTTTTTTTTTTTTTTTTTTTTAAAGCAGGCATAGTAGCACATGCCGGTAAACCTAGCACTTTCGAGGTGAGGCTCAAAGTCATTCTTGGCTTCACAATGAATCTGAGGGCAGCCTGGGTCACATAGTTGGAGGGAAAAAAAAGGGAAAAGTATAAAAAATTTAATGTTATAAAAAAGCCAGTACATCGTAGAAGTTAATTTATTATTTAAGAAAGGAACTGTTTAAAATGAATGCCATTTAGTCCAATATGTATCGAGTGTGCAATAATGTGTGTCAGTGGTCTCATTCATTGCCTATTCCACACTGAGTACCCCAGGGCAACTCTCAGACAGGCATGTTCTGGTCCTGGTCAGAGTCCTATACAGCTACAGCATTTTGTATTTGTGTTTGTTTATTTTGAGACAGCAGAGTGACCCTCAAACTACTATGTAGTCGACATGGCCTTACACTTGGTGTTCCTGTCTGACTCTCAGGGCTGACACAAAAGCTTCCATCTCGTATCTCTTCTGTAGTATTTTTACTCACTGATTCATATACCGTGTAAGCTATTCTGCAATATTTTTACTTTTCTGGGCTTACATGTTTGGATACACAAATATTATTGTTACAATCACTTAAACCATTCAATTTAGGGCAAGCTGTTCAGATTGAAGGCTAGGAGCTGCAGCCTCTGTCCTGAAGTCTAGATGTGCTAGGCTCTGTAGTCAGCTCCGTGGTGCACACACGGTCACAACACGTTGGTCAGGTGTCCCTGTGATCAGCAACACATGACTGTGTATCTGATGGAACCAGACTCGATCACCGTAGCTCTCCTGTTGTGTGAGGAGAGACAGGGAAGTCCAGCATATTAGGAATAATTAAGGGAACTGAATGTCACATTTGCTACTTACTGCCTAAGGGACTAGATGTGGTGGGAAGATGTGGAATTCTCATTCTAGGGTGGGGGGGTCTCTGACGGGCGACCCAGACTGATGGAAAAGGGAACTGTATTCTTTGACAGGAATACTGACCATGATTAAGATGATAATCCTCACCTCACGATAAACTTTGACTATCTTGTATCCTCTCCATGATCCTCCGGAGCTAGGGACCCAACCCCGAGCCTTGGGCATGCTGGGCAAGTGCCCTACCCCTGAGTCATATCCCATCCCCCCTCTCTCATTGTTTCTTCCTCCCTTGCTCTATCCTTATTTGTTTTATTGTTTTCCTCCAGTCTCTGATGTACCCAGAGCCACATTATTTATATAAATGCAGACTATGGTTTCATTTCTGGTGAGAGCAATCCTTTTGCTCTGTTTTCTTACCCCCCTGCCAGAAATTTCCCAGCTTCCTTTGTCCTATATGGATTTAAATTTTCTGATTTTAATTATTGTTGCCTTTAAAGAAATAACAGGAGAGGCCAGATGTGTGTGGCACACACCTGTGGTTCTAGCACATTTGAGGCAGAACCAGGAGGGTCAGGAGTTCAAGGTCATCCTCAGCTTTGCAGTGAGTTTGAGCCCAGTCCAAGCCACATGAGACTCTGTTTTGAAAATAAAAGAAAAAAGAAAGAGAAAAGGAAAATAGGAAGAAAAGAAAGGGCCAGGCAGTAACGATGGAAGAATCATCCACGCACAAGCTTCTGGATCTGAAGCCCAGCAGAAGTAATGATAATAAAATGGGATCCTTACCTCACATTTTTCACTGGGATAAATTCTTGAAGAATAAGAAAGAATGTAGTAGAGGGGCCGGCAAATTAGCCGAGTAGGTAAAGAGATTTACTGAGCAAAAGCTGGTAACCTGAGTTCAATTCTGAAACCCCTGTACAGGTGGAAGGAGAGAACCAAATTTACACACTTGTCTTCTGTCTTCCACACGTGTCGTGTCTTCAACCTCTCTCTCTCTCTCTCTTTCTCTCTCTC